ACATTAGTAGTACAGTATAGTATAGAGATGCAGTTTGCAGTATAAATTTAATTTGTATAGGAATTTAATGTAAAGCATTAATACATATTGAATTATAAAAAAATAAACATCGATACAATTACAATTTAAAAATTGCGCCCTCTACTGTACCGTGAACTAACTCGTGTGAACTCCGTGCATCTTCTTTGTTCATCGTAACAGATAAACGTGTGTCCCATTTTATCTCAGGTATGTATATGTTTTCTTCTTCATTTATGACGTTAGAAATATCGCCAATATATTTTGATTTGTAGATAATATACGATTGGCTGTTAGTTTCTTAAGAAAATATGATTGGTTGGTATTTTATATAAATTACTTTTTAAAGAGAGAGTTAGTTTTATATTTAAGCTACAATCATAGGAATGTACGGTTTTGTGGTTACTTACGGCGATTATAAAAATTATACCGCTTCTCGTTTATGCAAATTTCTCAATGTTTTTGTATATAGATTTACTATTTCTTATTTTTCTATTTCATTTTGTTACGCTTTATTTGTGTCATGTATAAACCATACGCTAAATAAATAAATCCGAATGTCTGTATTTCTGCAGCGAAAAATTTTTCGTTCGATGTTCCCGATAATTTTCCATTTATCCTGCGCTATTTTAAAGTCAAAGACATTTGGAAAGGCGAAGGAAAATATGGTTTTATAATTGTTGACGAGGATGGAGGAATTAATTAACGATATATGTAATGGATTATACAGTTCGTTCGAACGATGTGCAGAAAACATGAGAGAAATATATTTAGAAAATGATAAGAAAACTTTATTAACGTTCAAAGAGATAAGTCCAGGAATGAAATATAAATTTTCTAAATTTCCTAAGGTTGACAAGTTTGATTAAATTAATATGTATTTCAAACTGTTATAACCCCAGGTTTATCTAAAATAATAAAATTAATTTTATATAATACTAATACTAAACACGAAACATTAAAACAATACTTAATATTCTCTTTTGCACGATTCCAGTACAGATTCTCATCGTTTTCGTAAAGCCAAGCGAATGCTACCCGCTCTTTATTTTATGAGAATAGGTACCGGATTTTCCTCTGATGGTGGTAAGTAATTTTTATTTTAATAATAATCATAATACCAAACTTAATTTAGATTATAATTTTTTTTATAAACTAATTGTAGAATTTGGTTTTGATTTCGAGAAAAAAGGTAAGAAAAGAGGTCCTAAACCAAAATCCAGTGAGGCTGGTGAAAGCAAAACGATGAAATTCGATTTGGATCTAACAGCTGATAAAAGTAAGCAGATAATCCCAGATTTTAAGGTTAAAATTAGTCAAATCGAAACAATAGAAATTCAGGAGTTTCAGACAAATTCCTACGTCTGTCACAAAATCCAAGGGATGGTATCAACCTAATAAGTATATCAACGTGAAAGATTTTAACAACTGTAAACGAGCATTCGACGCAATTGGACAGCATTTGGAGGAATATATTAAATTTTAATTATGTTTGAAAAAGAAGTTCTACATTTAATAGTATGTTTTTTATCGTATAAGTATATAGAAAAATTTATTGTGTGGTGATATTTTATTGTATAGCACTTTTTTAGTTACGATTTAAAAGTATATGGTTTAATGATTTTATCGTATAACGTATACTTTAAATTTATGGTTTTTATAAACAAAATATATGGTTTTTCACATTCGTATTAAGAAAAAAAGCCTTCAAATGGTATGTTAGAACTTAGAGCAGTAATTTCGTGGGTTAGTCTTACTATTTTCGAGAATTCATATTATTCCTGTAAATTTAGAAAAATTTACATTTACTTTAGATCATTTTAAATTTATAGATAATTATCAATTTTTAAATGATTTGCTAACTAATTTAACAGAAAATTTAAAAAATGAAAATTATAATTTTCCTATTTTTAATCAATTTTTCTGTAATAACGAAAATAAAAATTTATTTAAAAGAAAAGCAATTTTTCCTTATTCTTATTTTAAAAATGAGATGTTTACCATCAAAAAAGTATTTTTATAATGAATTATTGGGAGAAAACATTAGCGATGATGATTACAAGCATGTGAAATTAATTTGGAAAAAATTTCNCTATTCCTCAATTTAAAAAAATCACATAACACGTTATCATCAATAAAAATAATAATAATAATGAAATTATAATTTATTTGAGAGTAGAATAACGAATTTCCATGTGTTATTCAGGAAGACGAATCTTTTATGTGTTACTTTTAATTTAAAAATGAACTTATTTCGAATATACGTTCAGGGTAAGCTATAAAAGACATAAAATATTCGACATTTATAAAATCATTTAAGAAAATTCTTTTTATATTTTAAACTTCAGATATATTCGTAGTTAAACTCTTAGAAAAACTTTTTATTGGAATTAAACATTAAACACACAATTAAGCCTACTATAAAGTCGCATTTAAAAAAACAGTTCGATTTCATTAATTAATAGTCTCCGTTCTAAAGTAATTACATTGTTATAAATACAGTTTATTGCTATTTAGTTAAATGAAACAATCCGCGTGTAAAACTACTTTTCAAGAGTAGTTCTGCGCTGCCACGGTTCTTACCTCGAAGAATATTCTTCCAAGTATCTGTCCGCCATGTTATAATGTAAACGATGCCCTCTTGTGAAATAGTAAATGAATCTATGAAGTGGAAAATAAATANTTGCTCGGGCAAAAAGTAACGATAGAGAAGATTAAGATTATTATATTATAGCCAATCTTATCCGTTTTCACAGAATGCAAGAATTAGGTCTCCCTGTTTCCAGACTAATTAGAAAATTTTTAGATGGGTTTAAAAATATGTTCGATTTCCTGAAAAAACGCAAAATACCGCATCTGCGCCTGTAAACTTGCACGTCGCTTTCTCTTAACACTTCCATTGTTAACACTTCCCCGAGGGGGGAGTGTTAAGAAGGGAGAAAAATCCCTTCTTAAGCCAAGATTCCACTAGCGTAAAAACCTTCGCCGTAAAAACTTTTAATTACGTGACCTATTTGCGTTTGCCTCTGGATTGCGGTGGAGGTCTGGCTAGCGAAGTTTTTACGGCGACGGTACTATCGAAGTTATAAAGACAATGATTATATTCTACAAGTTTTTTCTGTACTATAATTACAAATGTAGTAAAAATAATATCTTTACTTTCATATACAGTATTAACTTTTATTATCGTATTATTAATATAATATACAGCACTTAATAAGCTTAGCTTTTTTCATTATATACTCCTCTAAATTGAAGGATTTTCCTTTGGCCGTCCGTATCGCGTGATTTAGGCATCCATTATTATAATCGGGATACTTCTTGTCGTAGATACACGAATACTTTCGGATGTTTTCGATAAATCTTTCCAGATCTATTCTAGAGCAGTGGCATACCGTAGTGGGGGCGGCAGGGGCGGCCCGCCCCGGGCGGCACTTTTTAGGGGGCGACAAAATTACCTTTTAGAGGGCGGCAAAATTTCACAATAAATGATAATAATATCTTGTAAAAATTTGAAACTTCCTAATCTATACTTGCATCGCTCCTACGATAGTTCTATCGTCCGGACAATCCGGGAATCGACTCGCCGTCCGGGTGAACTAGTAATTTTTTCATATACACCACTAATATCCAATAGAACTATTTTAAACAGGTCGCTGCACTACCACCGAATTTTTCATTGCTTGTTATGTGACAAAACTGAATTTTGGTCTTTTAAATTGAAATACCTAAATAAGGGGGCAAAATTTTCCTCCGCCCCAGGCGGCTGACACCCACGGTACGCCACTGTTCTAGAGTACCCACGAGGGAACGTACACAAAAGCTCGTTTTCCACCATTTTCGCACCGCGTCACAATGACCTAGATTTAACTGACTTCTGATTGGTGGATGGTACCGTTTTACGGTCGTATTCGCGTCCAAAGTTGAACACAGCTCAACTCGCTTTTACGCTGGTTTTATGACTTGCTCAAGCGTAAAATATCAGGGTCACGTGATTAAAAGTTTTTATTGCGAGGGCTTTTTATGCCGTTTTTACGGTAGTGGAGTCTCGGCCTTAGTGTACATTCTCTTGACGTACCCCTATTAAAACGCAATTAAAAACGCAAAAAACCGCATCTAAAATAGTATAATAAAAGCGGAGTTCTTTACGGGAAGACTTAATCCTGTCTCTCTCCCCTGCAGCGGGGAATTTCGAAAAATCCCTTCTTAAAAAGACTGTTATACACGGTAAGGAAATCCTTTGAGGATTAACCGTGATTTTTTTTTCTATCTATCCATTTTTAAATAAAAATAATTCTTTATACGTTTGGAGATATTTTAATAAGTTTTGTAAATTACTATGTTCGATCCAGCCAGTTATATCCGAGTTTTTTTCGTCTGTTAAACACATCCTTTGAGGATTTCCTTACCGTGTATACCAGCCTTTAGTGTACTTTCTCGTGACGTACCTTAACCGTGTACCAAATTTCAACCTTTAACTCCTAACCGTTTAGACTCTGCGCTTATTATTATTATCATTATCAACCCATCTCGATTATATGCTGGTATATAGATTCTTTACGTTCGGATTATTTTTCTTCTTTCATTTTTGTTATTTCTGTTCTTTCCAGATGCAGAACACTTTTCAGGATATCAGAAAATTTGCCGGATGTGCAATGTATGTAAATTTAATGTTTATCTCTCGTTATAATAAACGTAACTTTTTCTTTGTTCTGTTAGATTTTGAATTTCATGAAAATATTCGGAAAAGTCTCGTTGAGTCTTTCAACAGGACGATTTTTGTTCATCAATAAAAAATCCCTTTAATTAAAGGTTTCATTATTTATCAAATTAGGTTATACAATCGAATTCTTTTCTGTAAGTGTTATCGAGCATCGGTAAATCATAATTTCTTTTTCAGATAGCAAAAACATTACATTAGTAGTACAGTATAGTATAGAGATGCAGTTTGCAGTATAAATTTAATTTGTATAGGAATTTAATGTAAAGCATTAATACATATTGAATTATAAAAAAATAAACATCGATACAATTACAATTTAAAAATTGCGCCCTCTACTGTACCGTGAACTAACTCGTGTGAACTCCGTGCATCTTCTTTGTTCATCGTAACAGATAAACGTGTGTCCCATTTTATCTCAGGTATGTATATGTTTTCTTCTTCATTTATGACGTTAGAAATATCGCCAATATATTTTGATTTGTAGATAATATACGATTGGCTGTTAGTTTCTTAAGAAAATATGATTGGTTGGTATTTTATATAAATTACTTTTTAAAGAGAGAGTTAGTTTTATATTTAAGCTACAATCATAGGAATGTACGGTTTTGTGGTTACTTACGGCGATTATAAAAATTATACCGCTTCTCGTTTATGCAAATTTCTCAATGTTTTTGTATATAGATTTACTATTTCTTATTTTTCTATTTCATTTTGTTACGCTTTATTTGTGTCATGTATAAACCATACGCTAAATAAATAAATCCGAATGTCTGTATTTCTGCAGCGAAAAATTTTTCGTTCGATGTTCCCGATAATTTTCCATTTATCCTGCGCTATTTTAAAGTCAAAGACATTTGGAAAGGCGAAGGAAAATATGGTTTTATAATTGTTGACGAGGATGGAGGAATTAATTAACGATATATGTAATGGATTATACAGTTCGTTCGAACGATGTGCAGAAAACATGAGAGAAATATATTTAGAAAATGATAAGAAAACTTTATTAACGTTCAAAGAGATAAGTCCAGGAATGAAATATAAATTTTCTAAATTTCCTAAGGTTGACAAGTTTGATTAAATTAATATGTATTTCAAACTGTTATAACCTCAGGTTTATCTAAAATAATAAAATTAATTTTATATAATACTAATACTAAACACGAAACATTAAAACAATACTTAATATTCTCTTTTGCACGATTCCAGTACAGATTCTCATCGTTTTCGTAAAGCCAAGCGAATGCTACCCGCTCTTTATTTTATGAGAATAGGTACCGGATTTTCCTCTGATGGTGGTAAGTAATTTTTATTTTAATAATAATCATAATACCAAACTTAATTTAGATTATAATTTTTTTTATAAACTAATTGTAGAATTTGGTTTTGATTTCGAGAAAAAAGGTAAGAAAAGAGGTCCTAAACCAAAATCCAGTGAGGCTGGTGAAAGCAAAACGATGAAATTCGATTTGGATCTAACAGCTGATAAAAGTAAGCAGATAATCCCAGATTTTAAGGTTAAAATTAGTCAAATCGAAACAATAGAAATTCAGGAGTTTCAGACAAATTCCTACGTCTGTCACAAAATCCAAGGGATGGTATCAACCTAATAAGTATATCAACGTGAAAGATTTTAACAACTGTAAACGAGCATTCGACGCAATTGGACAGCATTTGGAGGAATATATTAAATTTTAATTATGTTTGAAAAAGAAGTTCTACATTTAATAGTATGTTTTTTATCGTATAAGTATATAGAAAAATTTATTGTGTGGTGATATTTTATTGTATAGCACTTTTTTAGTTACGATTTAAAAGTATATGGTTTAATGATTTTATCGTATAACGTATACTTTAAATTTATGGTTTTTATAAACAAAATATATGGTTTTTCACATTCGTATTAAGAAAAAAAGCCTTCAAATGGTATGTTAGAACTTAGAGCAGTAATTTCGTGGGTTAGTCTTACTATTTTCGAGAATTCATATTATTCCTGTAAATTTAGAAAAATTTACATTTACTTTAGATCATTTTAAATTTATAGATAATTATCAATTTTTAAATGATTTGCTAACTAATTTAACAGAAAATTTAAAAAATGAAAATTATAATTTTCCTATTTTTAATCAATTTTTCTGTAATAACGAAAATAAAAATTTATTTAAAAGAAAAGCAATTTTTCCTTATTCTTATTTTAAAAATGAGATGTTTACCATCAAAAAGTATTTTTATAATGAATTATTGGGAGAAAACATTAGCGATGATGATTACAAGCATGTGAAATTAATTTGGAAAAAATTTCGTTGTAAAATTTTTAAAGATTATTTAAAATTATATCAATACTTAGACACGTTATTATTAGCTCTGATATATTCCAAAATTTTAGAAAATTAAGTTTCAGACTTAACCTGGAATTGCGGATTAAAAATGACAAAAATTCGGTTGGAATTATTTAAAGATATTAATGTGTATTTATTTATTGAAAGAAGGGTTCAAGGGGAGATAACACTCTAACAGGAAAAAGATTCGCAAAAGCAAATAACCCTCTAATCCCAAAAACATATGATAAAAATTAACCTCAATTATATTGTTTCCATAGATGCTAATAATCTCTATGGATTTGTGATGAGTTCTTGTTTACCTGTAAATAATTTCAGATGGTTATTCCGAGATGAGATAAATGCTTTAGACATTCGTAATATCCGTGATAGGAATAATATAGGTTATATTTTAGAAGTCGATATAAAATATCCACCAAATGTTCGTGATAGGCATAATGATCTATCTACCATTAGCTCCTGAACATATTAATATTTCCATGATTTATTATCAAAAATTGATATTAACTAAATCAAACTTAAAATATAAGGATAATAAGAAATTAATTCCTACTTTTTTTGATAAACAAAAGTATGTAATTCATTATAGAAATTTGAGGTTTTATTTAGAAGAGGGTTTATTAACTAAAATTCGAGTGCTCGCATTTAACAAAGAGCCTTGCTTAAAAAAGATGTAGTTTTTAATAAAAAAAAATAAAGGCAGGAATCGACGAATGATTTTGATAAATGTTTTTTTAAATTAATGAATAACGGCTTCTTTGGTAAAACCTGTCAATGTCTGCAAACGTTTAAATTTAAAAACCGCCATGACCGAAAATCAATGTCAAAAATATTTATCTCAACCATCTGTCGAAAATTTCCAAATTATAAATGATGATCTCATGATTTTTAAAATGAAAAAAATTAACTTATGTTTAGATAAACCAATTTATATAGGTTTTTGTGTGTCAGAATTAAGTAAATTACATATGTATCAAACATTTTATAAAATATTTAAAAATAAATATGGTGAATTTGTTATACACGGATAACTGATTCGCTAACACTTCAAATTTATACGAATAATTTATATGATGACTTTAAATCATTTCCAGATATTTTCGATTTCTGCAACTATCCGAACACTCATAAATTATATAATGTAACAAACAAAAATAAACTAGGCTATTTTAAAGATGAAATGTCATTAAAACCAATAATAGAAGTTTGTTCATTAAAATCAAAAATGTATTCTTATATTTTCGATAATCAAAATAAAAAAAACAGCTAAAGGAATTAAAAAATCCCGGGCTAAAGGAATTAAAAAATAAACGGCGGGAATCCCGGGAAAGAAACCGTAATTGAGAGACCACACCGGAAGTACTGCACTCAGACTCTAGGATTAATAACAAATAACCATTTAATAATTTCAGAAAAAAGGTTACAGGATACTTATCATAATGTTAGATTAACCGACCTAATTAACGAGTGGTCGCGAGAGAGAGAGTTTATATGAGGTTCGCGTGGCGATAAATACCTTTTGTAGCCGATGTTCTGTTTAGAATCGTCGGTAAAGTGTTGAGTATCCAATAGTTCGTATTTAAAGGCTTTAGTAGTAAAATGTTCAAGGGCGAGTTGATGAGTAGATGGGATATCCCATCGGGTAGGTTTGTGCACTAACACAATAAAAATTGGAGAAAGTTAGGTGCTGACTTTATGTGGGGGCCGAGGGGGAGAAATAAAAAAACTCGATGAACGATAATATGTGATATATATCGTCATCGTCTCCCTTGACGTTTGAACTGCCGAGCGGTAACAATCAACGACATGTGGAAGCAGTTGAGTCAGAGATAGATGCTTCGTTTACAAACAACACAACCGTCTATTAAACACGAAAGAAGCTTACAAGATTTTCGCGATCTTGGAAGTCCTGCGGCGGCTGCGCCTCTGGGTCTTCCTCTCCTTTCCAAGATACTCCCATTTTGAAGGAGTGTCCCTTGTTCGTGAATGAACCATTCCATCACGTCTCGATGGCTCCGGGACGATGCGGTCGACTTCCGTTGATGGAAAGATGTCGATCCGAGGTCGGGAGATGGAGACGAAGATGGGTGCGAGACACACACAGATCCGTCACATGGAACTTTCGGGAGAAGAAGCCGTCGCGTCCTCGAATTTCCGGGGTTTTATCCTTTTTCTCTCAGATTCCCCTTTCCGATTGGTCTCNATATAAGGATAATAAGAAATTAATTCCTACTTTTTTTGATAAACAAAAGTATGTAATTCATTATAGAAATTTGAGGTTTTATTTAGAAGAGGGTTTATTAACTAAAATTCGAGTGCTCGCATTTAACAAAGAGCCTTGCTTAAAAAAGATGTAGTTTTTAATAAAAAAAAATAAAGGCAGGAATCGACGAATGATTTTGATAAATGTTTTTTTAAATTAATGAATAACGGCTTCTTTGGTAAAACCTGTCAATGTCTGCAAACGTTTAAATTTAAAAACCGCCATGACCGAAAATCAATGTCAAAAATATTTATCTCAACCATCTGTCGAAAATTTCCAAATTATAAATGATGATCTCATGATTTTTAAAATGAAAAAAATTAACTTATGTTTAGATAAACCAATTTATATAGGTTTTTGTGTGTCAGAATTAAGTAAATTACATATGTATCAAACATTTTATAAAATATTTAAAAATAAATATGGTGAATTTGTTATACACGGATAACTGATTCGCTAACACTTCAAATTTATACAAATAATTTATATGATGACTTTAAATCATTTCCAGATATTTTCGATTTCTGCAACTATCCGAACACTCATAAATTATATAATGTAACAAACAAAAATAAACTAGGCTATTTTAAAGATGAAATGTCATTAAAACCAATAATAGAAGTTTGTTCATTAAAATCAAAAATGTATTCTTATATTTTCGATAATCAAAATAAAAAAAACAGCTAAAGGAATTAAAAAATCGGTTTTAAAAACTTTCAACCACGAAAAATATAACGAAGTTTTATTTAATACAGAACTGTTAAGACATCAACAATATGGGATTAAAAGTAAAAATCATGTGACAACATATCTTCAGAATAAAATATCACTCTCACCGTTTTATGATAAAAAATTTATTTCTGATAATGGCATAGATGTGATATCGTTTGGACATTATAATTTTTACGTTTAAATTCTCCCAGATTCTCTGATATCATCCCCCTCTTCAGTATGGTTACATATTATTGTACAAGAGGAAACGAAATTCAAAAACTTGTTTAATTCATGCTGTTTCGATAAAACATATATTTGTTTAAAACAAGCCGTGAATAAAGCTGGATTATTTAAATTACCGGAAAATAAGGAATACTATTGTAAATTTTTTATAGACTACTAACTAACCAGATAACAATATCACTGTGACTGAGGATCGGCAGTGCCTTGTCAGGACTGACATCACCGTGTCTCGTTGACACGGAAGCGGATTCGACGTAGATCACACGAGCGGCCGCGTGCGCAGGCGATCGGATTCGGGATGGAGACGGATTGAGAGTAGGGTTTCTCATTTCCCGGGAAATTTGCCTCCAGCGGGATTACGGGAAAAATAATTTCTTTTCCTGGGAAATTCCGGGATGAGATAGTAAAATAGAATTTTATATGAATAAAAAAGATCATACAGAAATATCATATATTTGAATAATTTAATTTATTTTCTAGTAAGTAACTAAAGGTGTAGGGCCAATCTCACCCATACGGACACGTTAGGCTCAATTAATTTATGTTCTCCTACATTATAAGATGAAAGTAAAATAAAGCGTTTCATTGGGAGTTTTAATGATTACGAAAAAAAA